ATTTGCGTTTTCTGAACAATAAACAATGGAAAAAGTTATTTCTTTGGTCTGATTATTTGTCTTCAAACATGTTAATGCAGACATTCGGAGACTGTTAAGGGAACTTTTTGGGGATGTTGCGCTAACGTCCTAGGAACGTTACACAAACCGGCAGGGGATGTCCCGGAAACGTTGTATTGACGTCAAGAAAACTCTCCTGGCTAACTAACGGAACGTTAGGGTGTTTGTTGTGGGGACGTTCCCTGGACCTTCTGAAAACCTTCAGGGAACGTTCGGAGAACATCCTGGGATTGTTATGCGTTTGCTGGGTTTCAGCTCTGAACTGTGAGAAAAACAATTTTTACAATGGCTATTCCAGATGTTCTAGTGGATCAGACTAACAATTTGTACTCTGTGATGGAAGCAAGATGGTGCGTCTTCTTGTAAAGTGCTTGTGGTGATATGACAGCCAGAATGTAAAATGTGTTGCTCACACTTTATTTTAAGGTACAATTCTTGCTATTGTCACGAGTAGTTGTTGTTGTAGTGTAGTGTAGGCTTGTATGTGTTGTTTCTTTCCCTCTCTTTCTCTCGATCTCCCTCTCATTTCGAATTATTCGCAGGTGCAGTAGATTAGCCTACGTCGGATCATGAATGTCGGCAGCTGTATTTAAACCTTCAGTGAGCATGGATTCGATGGGCTCCCTGCTCTCTCTTGATGCCCCGCTTGTTCTCTGTGGAGATGTTATTGCTCAAGTGATATAAATGAGTGTTTGTTGCTGATGTCTCTTATATGGCGTTTTGTGAGATGCTGATGTGAAGTTGTATATCTTCAATGGAGAAACCCGGTTATCTGTTTCCCTGTCTGGCTTGGAGCATGGTAGGGAGATTTGGTGCCTTCTGTTTATTATTTTCGTTTTCTCTTGTGTTTGTTAGTACTAGCGAGGTAAGTTTTCTATATTTTTATTGTATTTTCTACTTTCCAGGGAGGTTTATTCTAATTTAGTTAGCTTGGTTTATTGTCATTTATTTTGGCTGAACCACTTCCAATGTTATTTTTGCTCCTTATTTCTGTAAATAAATCATATTTTCGTGTTAATTCTCAGTGGTTGTTTTTTTGGCCTCTCAGTAACATGCCGCCCTCGGCTGCCTCAGGAAGCAGATCTCATGTAACGTTTATGAGAATTACTACAGTAAGAACTACCAATAAGTATTTGATGCAGTTTTTGTGTAGTTGCAACCATGTTACACACAATCTCGTTACAGAATTCACAAACACACACACACACAGACACACACACACACACACACACACACACACACACACACACACACACACACACACACACACATACACACACACACACACACACACACACACACACACACACACACACACACACACACACACACACCACAGCACCCACATTTAGCTTTGCACTGTTTTTGCACGCAAATGTGACAGCATACAGGTTGATCTTCACTGCTATATGGATATCTGTTATGTTAATGTACAAAATAAACCTGATTTAACGTACACAAACCGGGATTGAAGCAGTTTCTTTTATAATTGTTCTGACACGCGGCTGTGCATCTGAAGTGAATCGCTGTACTTCATTGCACACGTGCTCTGTTTTAAAACATTTTAAACCTGTAAAACTCACTCCTGATCACGTTTGATGATGATTTATGATCCTAGCGAACTGAACAGACCTTTTATTCCCGGTTGCTTTGCACATGTCCTGTCTTGTTGATATGATTATACACGTGACTAGCGGGACAAGTTAATACGCACAGCTGTCAATCAATATTGGTGGGCGGGGGAACGCCCTGCTACGTCAAGTTGCAGTCGGTCTGAAAACCGCCCCAATTGGTCCACCGTTTTTATGTTGTTAAATTTGAAAAAACAAAAAAGAAGAACTGAGTTTTTATATCACTCCGATATGACAGTCTATACACTATACCTACACACATGTCTGTCCAAACAGCTTTAAAGGGCACCTATGGTGTAAAATCTACATTTAAAGCTGTTTGGTTGGTAGTGGTTGGGTTTAGGTATTAGGTAGGATTAGAGATGTAGATTAAGATCATGGTAAATATGTATTGATAAGTACTAATAAATAAATATCTTAATAATAGGCAGGTCATTATAAGCCACTAGATAATAGTGAAAATTGGTACTTAAACTATACCAAGCATTTATCCTCATTTGACCATGTAATTATGCGGCAGGCCATCAGTCAATTGCTGTTAAGTTAGTGTGTGTTTGTTAAACTGACGCCAGTCTTACTGAATTAAGAAGGTCTCTTTGATATACTAGTTCTCGTATTTTAAAGTTGTTCAGTTTAAATTGACTTTTTGCCCTTAAGCTATCTTTACATTGTTTCCCTCTCTATTGTCTGGTTCTGCTTTATAAATTACTGTATGTCCCACAAATCTTGTTTAATTATTTTATATATGAGTTTCTTTTCGCTTATAATCTGCCTTTTTACAGCTCAAACATTCACTTTTACTCACTAAGGTTCTAAAACCTTGTATACATTTTATTTTTGACCTGAACACTGGCCTGTGCCATTTGCACAATGTTTAGGTTTCCATAATATGAAAAAAATACCTTTGAGATATTAAAGTATAATATATGGCAGTACAGTGGAGCAGTGGGAAGAACAATCGCCTCACAGCAAGAAAGTGGCTGGTTTGAGCTCTGGCTGGAGCAGTTGGCATTTCTGTGTGGAGTTTGCATGTTCTCCCCGTGTTCGCATGAGTTTCCTCGGTTGTTCTGGTTTACCATAAAAGTCCAAAGACATGTGCTATTGACCTTATTCTAAAATTCGGAAGTTCGCCTGTTTTCGCGATTGTTTTAGAGCTTCCGATTCAGTCGCCTATGGGAGAAATGACTAGTCATAATAAACGGCAGGAAACGGTCAAACAACTTGCTCTACAAACAAATGTTTGCATAGACCAAGTAGAATAATATAATAAGAAAATATCAGTTTGCAACATCAAGCAGCGTAATGAGCCATTTTTTTAAATGTCTACAAATAAATGGAAGTGAATGAGACTGGAAGTCTTGAGCCAAAAAGATTCAAATGGCTGCGCCCACTTGTCGGCAAAGAATGAGGTGAATAGGTGAATTGGGTAAGCTAAATCGTCCATAGTGTATGTGTGTGATGGAGTGTGTATGGAAATTTCCCAGTGGTGGGTTGCAACTGAAAGGGCAACCGCTGCATAAAACATATGCTGGATAAGTTGGCGATTCATTCCGCTGTGGCGACCCCAGATTAATAAAAGGACTAATCCGAAAAGAAAATGAATGAATGAAAGAATGCATAATATATTCAGTTTTAATTATTAGCCATCCTGTCATATTTTTACAATTTTTAAAATATTTCCCAAGTAATGTTTAACAGAGCAAGGGCATTTGCACAGTATTTCCTCTAATATTTGTACTTTCGCAGAAAGTTTTATTATTTTTTTATTAATATTATTTTATTTTATATTAATTATATTTATTACTTTGATTGGATACAGAACATGTTAAACTAATTAACCTGGTTAAATATTTAAATTGTAATTTGAGCTGAATAAAAATTCTCTCAACATTTACTCATCTTTCATTTGCTTTCCACTTGGTTTCTTTCTTCTGTTATGCACTCACTAACCATTTTATTAGGTACACCTATCCTACTGCTTGTTAATGCAAATATCTAATCAGCCAATCACATGGCAGCAACTCAGTGCATGTAGACATGGTCAAGATGATGTGCTGCCATTTAAACCCAGCATCAGAATGGGGAAAAAAGTGATTTTGAATGTGGCATGGTTGTTGGTGCCAGACGGGCTGGTCTAAGTTATTCAGGAACTGCTGATCTACTGGGATCCGGCACTTCAACTCCACAACCTATCTGAGTATAGACCACTTCAATGCGGTGATCTCATCATTTCCTGCTTGTTATCAAACTATAACTGTAACAAGAGTCAATTCAATCATAACTTCATGTTAAAACAGCTACCATAACAATATTTATTAATATGTGGCTCTTTTTGGATTCTCTGAAGCTCTAGAAATAAAAAATATAAAACAGGGAATACGCTGGGACCATTGTTATTGTTTACATCCCTCAAAATGGTCTATTGTTCCATCCCTAAATTACCCTGCTTACCTATTTTCTATTGGTTACTTCCAGCAGGATAACATGCCATGTCACAAACCAAGAATTATCTCAGACTGGTTTCCTGACCATGATAATGAGTTCACTGTTCTCAAATGGCCTCCAAAGCCACCCGACCTCAATCCAATAGTGCACCTTTGTGATGTGGTGGAACGGGAGATTTGCATCATGGATGTGCTGCCCAAAAATCTAAAGCAACTGCATGATGCTATCATGTCAATATGGACCAAAATCTCTGAGGACAATTTCCAGTACCTTGTTGAATCTATGCCAAGAAGGATTAAGGCAGTTCTGAAGGCAAAAGGGGGTCCAACCTGGAACTAGTAAGGTGTACCATATAAAGTGACTGGTGAGTGTATAATGAAGGTTTGAAAGCCGTTAACTTCCATAGTATATTTTTGTTCCTAATATGAATATCAATGGCTGCTTTTTCCCCATCATTCTTCAAAATATCCTCTTGTGTGTTCAGAAAAGAAAGAAACTCACAAAGCTTCGAAACCACTTGAGTGTGAGTATTTTTAGAATAGGTGAACTATCCCTTTAAAAAAGTAAACTTTTTTGGTTCAAAGACATGCAAAATGACAGAGAAAAGCAGATAAAACTTTCAGGCTTTCACTCAGATGTATAATATTTCAGGATGTTTACTGTAGGTGACTGCATTATTGCATCATAATCAATTCAAGTTGCAACACGTTTAAGATGAATAAAAAACACACAACTTTGTATCCAATATGGCAGGCCTTAAGTCATGCTTCAGTGCCATTTTTGATAAATGTACTTCATCATTATGAGGTTAATATGTGTATAAAAGCCACTAACAAAGCAGCTGAAGTAGTTTTTCAGACTTACGTAACAGGCTCCTGGATCTCTGTAACCCCAATGAATTTGAGCTGGCCGGCGATTTCTGGTAAACTCTCGCACTTGGCGAGGTTAACCCTGGGATAGTACAGCAGAAACGACAAACACATCTCTTCCCGTGTACTGAGACCTCCCTGTAGAAAAATTATTTGGGTCAAGACCTTGAAATACTACGCTGATATAATGCATCCAAAGCACTATTACAGCCTGTGACAAATTATGCCCAATAGTGAGCAAAGCTGGGCTGACACGACACGCACAGAGCAGCAAATATATCTTGATTTCTCTAATATGAATCCAAAACACCAGTGATTTGGCCTCGATGTTTATGGATTGTGGACGGTCTACAGAGAAAAAAGGCAGCCTATCAGCTCACTGGCTGCATGTGTACAGGCAAACGTCGGCAGCTGGAGCCTTCTTCATAGACCTGCAGCTGTTTGCAGACACATTGTTTAGCCAAGAGCACACAGACTTTCACAGACTGTCTGGGAAAAAAAAGAAAAACTGTTGTTCAGATTTAAAGCCGAGTATCTAATAGAGCTGTTGAATTTATAGTCCTAAATCCGGAAAAATAATGAACATTTTAGTGTGCAGTTGTCTAGTTTTAGAATTTTGATCCAAGTGAAGATCCAATTAGATACATTCGGTCTATTATTGTCCTGACTTAAACATAAAATATACAAGATATTAGTCCTACAACCGGAAAAATAATTTACAATTTATATTTTAGTGCTGTGAAATTGTTTTTTTTTTTCAATCAAAACTTTTCGACAGTGCTTAAAAATGTAAACTTTGATCGATTGATTGATTGATCAATCAATCAATCAATCAATCAATCAATCAATCAATCAATCAATAAATCAGTCAGTCAGTCAGTCAGTCAATCAGTCAATTAAATTTTTTATATAGCATTAAAGCACTGTAAAAAGGTAAGGATAAAATGAAAACAAGAATGTCAACAAAACATTAAATCAATGCAGTCCTTTCTCAGAAAAAAACTTTTCAAACTGTTCAAACATACATGATTAAAGGGGTGGTCCAGAGTGTATTTTAAGGCTTGGTTGTGTTTATAACATGCAAAGCAATGAGTGCTTATGCTTCATTTGTAAAAAATCACATTATTTTTTTCATATATCTTACTTTAAGTATTCAGCTAACATGAAAATTAAATATTTCCTAGTTCCTCTGAAAGGCCCACCGCAAGAGGCTCTGATTGGTCAGCTAACATAATGTGCTGTGATTCGCGGATCCACTCTACGTCACCGGGAATCATCACGTCCCGTCACTAGCATGCACTGTGCCATTGCTGAGTAAAGCTTTTAGCCCTATTAGTTTGTGCCTGAATCAAGCAGAAAATGACACACAGGACACAGCTGAACCTCACGCCTGCTCACTAAAATAAAATCTGACAAGTCTCTCACATATATTCGGAATAAGCAGGTGTAAGTAATATGAAATGTTCACATCTCTTGTGAGTTTGTTATATGAGATGTAGAACGCATCTGGTGAAGATTGTATGTGTTTACAGGGGTTTAACGGATAAATATTTAAAGCTAAATTGTTAACCATGCCAAACAGCATTTCCCGTTGTTTACATACTTGTTTACACCCTTGCTACAGAATACCGTTAACGCTAGAAACTATACCTGTAGTTGAACAATTTTGCAAATAAAAATACAGGTTGTGGCTCACAATCCACAGCTTTTGCTATTATGGTTGGAGCTGCTCCTACTTTGAGGAGTTTTTAACCGAATCTAGCACTGAACTGGGAGAGATTCTGGAAGCTGTCCTTTGTCAAATGCTAGCCATATATTTTTTTTCTCTGAAACATAATTAAAGTAAAACTGTAAGCACTTCTCACTTTGTGTCGTGTCCTTTGGAAGCCCGAAGACAGAAACAGAACAAGCTCTGTGGAAACAGCACCGTTTGGATGCATTTTAGCTTTCTCTGCTATAACATTACAGCGCCTCTGGCCACACACCTTCACTGCGCAGGATGTATGCACATAACCTGAAGGGTTTATGATCTCATTAACCCGGATATATATTTTTTGTAGTCCTCAAGTAAAAGACCAAAAGGTCTTACATTCAGAGATGTTGTTTATGTTCACACAGCTACATTATACATCAACTGAAGTTTAAAATATATCATATTGGATCGACCCTTTAAGATGCTTTGTCATTTATTATATCACCCTCATCCAGCAGTTTTCTATTTAATAATTAATAATATTTGAAAAATTTATAAAATGGAAATAAAATAGAAATATTTTGTCGAACTGTTTTTCTAGCAATTTAAGTGTTTGCGATTATTAATTATAATTTATTTTTACAGGGGTTTTCACCTTTATTGTATAGAACAGTAAAGAGTATTGACAGGAAACCAGGGGGAGCAGAGAGAGGGGAAGGATTGACATAGGATCGTGAGGCAGGAGTCAAACTCTGGTCGTCATAAGCACTGGAGTGCATGTGTCGACACTCTAACCACTACACCACTGGCGCCAACGTTTGCAATTATTTTTACATTGTGAAATTTCAGTTCATTGCCTTTAGGAACAAGAGAGAACAATGCTATTTCAATGATTCATTGCATGCTTTTTGGAAGCAATGTGGTTTTAAGTACAGTTTTTGTACAATAAGTTGGTCATCAAATTGTGAATTTGTAAAAATATTACTATAATTATATAACAGATATAACATTATATAGTAATATTACAGTGTTAAGGACATCAGAGATCAAGTCTTATAAAGGCCTACAAATCATGTATGAACAACAGCTCTATAACATTTACTAAACTAAACATTTGCCTAATCCAGGATTTGTCATCATTAACTGCTTGTTGATTTAACCTCATGATAAAATAAAATGTCAGAATAAAATTAACATAAAATAAAATTGTCAAAAAAAAAAAAGCTTTTAAAAACATTTTATCTTACCCAGGTCATGTTCATTCTGCCTTTAGTGTTGTATCTACATTCAGTGATTAAGGAATCCCCCTGGTGACAGAAAAACAAGTTGGTTATTTAGATTTATATATATATATAAAAGACTTGTCTATTATGTTTACTAGTGGCAGGTCAAACAGTATAAACCATTGACAATCACTTGAGCATAAACCATTAAAACCCCACTGATTGTTATCAGAGAACAGAACAGGAAAACAAGTCAGAACTCACACATGAGGCACACCTCTCGCCTGTGGGCCTTGTTAAATAGACACCAGTCTCACACATACACAATATTGTGCTTGTCGATGCTGAATTTATTACACCACTCAGAACAACACAAATCACTAAACATATTTGTTTGTTTAAAATAAATTTTGATTTTGATCATGATATAGATTAATGCTTCTAATTAGACAACTTAAAACATTACTGCTTCCCAATATGTCTAAAATATTTATTTAATTTCAATGTATTTAAAAATATGATTGAATGACATATTTAACAACCAATAAAGACTTTAGGCTACAAAAATATTTGTTCTTGTTGTTGTTGATTTTGGTTGTTACTCACGTGAATTACTGAACTGTGTTCACAGATCATGATTAAGCACTAAAAGGTCAATTAAAAGCTGACACCAAATTTAGCTGCATTGTCAACAAGGCCTATTTGAAGCATTTGGTGATTTGCTCTATTTCAATCACTACCAAACGTTCATAGATCAGTTAAATTGTATCCCAGCACTTCTGGTAAAATATTATGATGCTATATGGCTGAAAACCTAAAGAATTTATTCATAACTATATGTCCACAGCTCTTACTGGATCAAAAACAGATTTGAATATGCTGCAATCCTACATGCCAAAGATTTAAAAGACAAGGCTGAATCATTTGCATTTAAGAATGAGACAGAGTGGGTGTTTGAGTTGAGATGGCAATCTTTTAACGGTTAATCATGCAGCTCTACCCCCAGGTAATGCAAAGTGCTCTTATATGGCTGAGACACTGGAGCAGATAATGATAATTGCTCTATTATTTACTCCTAAAACACTACCAATCCCTTAGCTATAAACTCTGGGCCAGTGTAACAGTGTAAATACTTTAGTTGAAGTAAACAGCAAATTTAATTTGACCCAAATAGGATAAAAGCACAATCTGTTCAATATATAGCGCTGTCATGTCTAGAAGTAATAATCCGTGTTTTCATTGCTAGGAAATTTGTAGCAACACATTTTGTTTAACCACAACTGACACCCAGGTACAAGCCATAGAACACCCTGTACTTCATCCCTCAGTTTCATTCCACTTCCTTGATTTTTCCATGAATTTTTCAGACTTGGAATTGAATTTCCCTGGTATTCACACTGGTTTGCTTGAATCACTCTATCATGTTGTATCTGATGATTAATGCAACACATCAATTTCACCCTCAGATGGAGCAACGCAGACTGAAATGGACACTGACAGGCAAGATGAGTCTCTCCTGGCTGAGCGGCTGGAACTCCTGGAAGTTGAAATCGAACTGATCATCTGAGGCCAGTGGCTGGAGCTCGAGCTGCTGCCGGAAGTGTCTGGCTGTGATAGCCCGTCCTGCCAGGTGAGCGTGGAGCAGAACCGCAAACACATGAACTCCGCTGGGCATCTCGCTGTCTAATGACTAACAGGAAGACAGATACACATGGTATTTTATGAGTTGAGAAACTTGCACAATCTTTTCAAAGTTAGCAAAAATATATATTTCTGAAAAAACCAAACAAATTGATAACCAGAATCTACTTGACTTTAATGAACTCAAGCATCAAAAGCAACAAACAATAAACAGAATATTATCGCCCATTGTTCTGCATGCTATTATATTTTTCATCATTTTAGTTATCAATCTTGAGTATTTTTATCAAAAGTACACTTTCATAATGGTAGTGCAGCCAAATCTGATCTTATAAATTGAGTGTACCATAATACACAATCCCACCTCCTGAAGACACTCCTGTGTGCAGTGTCCTTCAGTAATGTAATCCGTCATGCCTGGAGGCAGCATATGGTAGAGACTGACCCAAACTCCTGTCTCGATGACTCCAGCATCGTAGCGCCTCAGGCTGGGGCTGTAGTACAATCGCAGACCTGAACTGTCCACTATCCCTGTGGAAAGACCAAAACTCAGAGCAGCTCAAGCTCATTACTGACTGGCTGACTATAACCGTAATATATACCACTGAGACTATACTGATTATTTCATAAGTCGATACATAAAATATAATAACCAACACAGAAAGCCACAGAAAATAACCGTAACATTCTGTAGTTGTGTGTTAATCACTTGGCTTTATGCTGCCATGTGTCATGTGTTATTGAAATTATTGTGCTGTAAATATAGGTTTCTGAAGTTGTACAATATTTACAACTAGGAAACTCTGAGATAATTTTGACATCTGAGATTTTAATTTGGGTGGGCCATAAAATTTAAACATGACTGAACAAAAAAGGAGAAATTTTGCTGTAGTGACTTTTTTTTTTTTTTTTTCACAATAGGAACGTTGCCTTTTCGTTAAAGTGTTGCATATTTAAACTCCAAAACGAGTGTTGAGTTTAATATTGGCTAAAATGTGGACAAACCCAACAGTTGGGTTAGTTTCTTAAATTAAATCTTTAACTCAACAACTTTTGGTTAAAACAACCCATCATTGTTTAGATCTTTGTAAGGGTCAGGGTAGCACTGGTCAACGCAATCCACAGAAAATTGAGACACACAACTGTTTTGTGTGGGGAAATAAGAAAAGTTCAGCATATATTACAAGAATTACTGAACATACAGTATAATTAATTTGATATGGAGTGATTTAGTGATTCGACACTGACCATTTGGATGCAGGAATCAGTTGTTTTATGTTGTATAGGGTGTCAGAACTCACTCCTGGAGGTCCGGTGTTCTGCAAACTTTAGTTCCAACCTCATTAGACACACCTGGGCTTGCTAATCAAGCTCTTACAAGGTTTTCTTGAAACATTCATGCAGGTGTGTTGAGGCAAGTTGGAGCTAAAATCTGCAGGACACTGGCCCTCCAGGACCGAGTTTGAACACCCCTGTTGGATAGTGTGTCATAGTGAATGACAACCAACACCATGTCTGGCGTGCTTCACAATGTCTTGATGGAATGACTAGAATGTTAAGTGTTTTTTCTCAGTTCTCCAACATGTGTTTGTCGAATCTGTGATGTTTAGCAAAAGTAGCACAGAAGCCGTTTTATACATGGCATTCAAACATGGCAACGTTAAATGATACTTAGACAAAGGTATTGGTGTCGCTGGGTGGAATTATACAATGAAATGTCCACTTTTCGTTTTTTTGGAGGATTTTATGATGACAAGGCACCCAAAATACACCATGTAGTCAGTTTGTTTACGCTCTTATTTATAGCTATTAGTTTATATTATTGACTCAATCATACACAGTTTGAAATAATGACTGGTTAAAAAGCAATGTGCAATTTAACATATTTCTTGTCCACACCAACAATCTGCAGAATCACACGTTGACTATCTCAAAGAGGTAGTATCATGTGCTGTAAACCAAACTCAATGTTAATTATCTTATTAAAGTTTTTGAGGGCACTTGAAATTGAACAATATGTTTAATTATATATTTAATTCATAAAATCAACCAAAGACTCACACAGCACCTTCAAACCAATCAAGTCAGCTGTCTAGACTAAGAATCCCCCCCAAAGAATAATGGAACTGACAAATGCTTCATTGTGATACTTGGCATTGACAATGATCAACATGTGAGCAAAATGCTTGCTTTTTTTCTAGTAAATTGCTAAAATCACTGCATCTTACTTGTGTTTTTTTTAAAGTGTGCAAACTTTTTCAGTTGCTTTCTCCATCATAAATAAGTCCATGAGTCATAAATAATAAATTCCATTAAAAATGTAGCACTTTATTTTACAGTCCTTTTTTTATGTGTACTTATCATATCCATCACCTAAACTGTGCCATCCCTAAAACTATACCTGGACCTACTGTAACTTTAACCCATGTAGTTCCCTTACATAACTTACTGCTTTTTTATGTAAGTACACAGTAAGTACACCCACTGTAAAATAATGTGCCACTGAAATAATATTTGTCCATTTTGATTTAATTGCGACTTTAAACTGATCAAGTGCTATTATATTCATCCTAACAAAATTAAATTATAAAACTTTAAACTTAAAAAGTTTAAGTGCATTGAACATGAAACAAAAGTTGTACTGAGAAATCTCAATAATTGTGTTAAGCTCATTTTACAGAAGTGGTTTGAACAGATTTTTTTAAATGTGGTACCTCCTTGTAAAGATGGGTTATCAAAGTGAATCTCCAGCTGCACATAGACTGGGTCTATCGACGTTCCTATTGACATCCCAACATGCGGAGGATAGGTGAAGCCCTGCAATGGATAAACATATTTTCATTTTAATATGCAAATCTCTCGTTATTGAGAAAAATGATGAAAGTCTAAAGTGAGCACCTCCCCTCCAATAGCCCAGGCAAACAGGACAGTTTCACAAGTTAAGAAGGAGTCTGGCATATTTGGATGGTAGCATTCATGACCTCTGTTGACCTCACTCTTGTTCAGATTACTGTCGCACTGGTAGAGCAAAATATGATGAACCAGATTCTCATGACCCTTCTGAATCAGCGGCTCAATCTGAAAACAGCACACAAATACAGAGGAATGTGAATGGAGGAGGTTTGCACCACTTACAGTTGAATAGAAAATGCCTTTTCAGTTCTGCGTCTGAATTTGAAATGAGGCTAAAGTATTGTTTGGATCTTAATATAAAGTATTAATAGGTAAAATAGCAAAAAAGGCCAGTTACACATAGCAATAAAGAAAATAAAAAAACAGAATTATGAAAGACTAATGTAGTAGTTATATAGACTGAATAAGAAAATTATATCATTAATGTCAATATATATACACACAAAAATGACTTTACTTGTTCAAACTTTTTTTTATTGGGCTGAATCAACAGAACTATTGAGTTTTTTTTGGGGGAGGGGGGGGGGGCAAATTGGTTGTTTTATGTTCAATCCACTTAGATTTGTAAAAATAATTAAGTTAACTTAATCAATTTGTGTGGGGCCAACATGAAGGAATTGAGTGGAAAACAGCATGTTTTACTGTATATGTCCTAAATTTGGTGGACTAAATAATTAAAAATGAAATTGAGCTTTTTCTTTTAATGGCTAGTGAATATTTTGATCATGCTAAACTAACATTTTTAACAGAAAATGAAAAGACATGATTATTTCAAATTAGTATACGGTATACTTGTAACAAAATTAGGTAAATTCTTTTGTTTACACCAGTTTATTATTAATTATTAAATATTCTCAATTTGTCCACACCTCCGATTATAATATTATATTAACTACCTTCCGGATAGAGCAAAATGTGCTAATTTTCAAATCTGAAATATTTAAAGAAGTATCTTATGCTTCCCAGTGCTGCAGCTATGAAAACACTGTACTATAGTGAAATACTACTACAATTTAAATAAAGAAGCCATTTTAATTGCAATGACACAAACAAAAGCTAGCAAAAGCTCTTTTCTATAACCCAATTTTTTTCCACTAGATACAGTATACATTTCTAAGCTTTGATAAAGGGATCAGTCATAGAGATTTGATAAAAGTAGGTTATCTTTTTTTAAACGCTATTTTGAGTGTGGAATATCTTTGGAGTAGGAAGTTGGAGATATGAGCATTATTTTCCTCCTCACAGTAGGCTTCTTCTGTCAGATCTGGAATTCTAAATAAAAGCATTTCCAGCAGAGTGAACTGTGTCCTGCTCTTCGGCCTGAAGCCTCGGCCTGAAGCAGTGGGACCCCGGGCTAAACAGTGGCTAAATAAATATTCTAACATTCCTTTATTTTCCTTCCACCTCCTCTTCTCCACCTCTCACTTCCACCTTCCATCTTCCATCTCATGTTTTAAGGCCCCAATATCTAATGACCATGTAGCTTTATTGTATAGGATAAACACTCGTCCTTAGTATGTTTGATCCATCACAGATTCATAATGAATGAAGCATATTGTGAAGCAAGAAAATGTTAACCATATTTTCTCTTTCTTTTTGTTTTTTTGTTCTGTTTAGCTGGAATAAAAGCAGATAATTTTTTTTTGTGGGGGGGGGGGGGGGGGGGGGGGTGGGGGGGATAATGATATTAGCTATATTTAATATTAATATTATTTAATTTGTATACTATTATCTTGTAAAATAACCAGTAAAATATTATGTACTGCCACCATGATAAAGACAAAGGAAATTTTAATTAAATTTTTATTAATTAATTAAACTTACAATGTATAAATGCTATTATGGCAATTCTGTAATTTTAATATGGTAAATATATTGATGAATTTGGTTTTATGAGCATGGCATAACTTATATATGCTATAAAAGATTAATTTTATTTAGGTAAGCGCTTTTAAAAGTCAATGATACCGCTTAAAGTTGTTCAGAAATGTCTCAATAGGGTAATATGATAAATTGTTTGTCATAGATACCAGAAAATCAGCCAATTTTTTAGCTTTTACAGTTAAAATTGCATCATTTTTGCAATGTTTTGGGATCTCAGTAGCCCCATATTGCATATAGCACACTAGTCACATACAGTAGCAGTGTCTTCTGCCATCACATAGCGTGAGGTTTCAACTAGTAAGGACAGTGACAATAAAGGCTGAATATAGACAGTGAGAGCACAGTGTCTGGAAAATCTGCTGCTCTTTGACAGCTCCACATCTGCTTTGTGAAGCATTCAGACACAGCTGTGGTTGTAGGGCAGCTGCTGGCATCTGATGAACACAAATACCAGACCACTGTACTGCATGTTGGAGAGGACAGGAAAAAAGGGCGCACAGGGGTCACACAACAGTTATTCACATGCTTTTTTCCCCTCTGTGTTCAGTTGATATTAGTATTAGTAAAAGCTTAAAGGGAGCTTACTAAGTCAAACTTGATCCATTTAGTATCCAAGCAATTTGTATAAATTATTATATAAATTATTATTTTGTTAGACTGCACTAGCTAGTTACTGTACATTGGCTGATTTTAACTGTAAAAATGACTGTAAAATGCTACAGTAAAAATCTTAATGTAGTTTCTTAATAAATAATTTTGTATAATGAAGGTAGATTTTTAAGCTTTCTGAATTAATACACAATTTTATTTCCAGTTTTAGTTTTTATTTTAGTTTTATTTCCACAGTTTGTAATATTTCTAATTAACTTAAACTGACTGCAATTAAAACAAACCAATATATTAATAGACCTTTAACTGAAATTAAATAGAAACACTACACCTACAACTTTAATAATTCTGATCTCATCATAATCTAATCAAGACATATTCACAGTAAATGAAAAAGAAGTCTTGTTTTCAAGGTTGGTTGAAATTTTTTAAGACAAGAAAAACAAGACTTAAAGGTGCATCAAGCCTGACTTGAAAACCACTTTGACCATTGAGTCAGTTCCAAAACACACTTGCAGCCAATCAGCAGTAAAAGGCAGGTCTAGTAATGAAAGCAGAGTTATCAAAAAGGGGTGTGGTTTTGTGTTATGGGTGTGTCTGTTTTGATGCTTTTAACTGTCAAACATCATTTAGAACGAAAATAATTTGCTTAATGCACCTTTAATGCCTTCTGTCACTTTAGATCTAAAATATGTTTAAATGTGTACTGAAAACAATAATAAAAAAAATACTAAGAAAGACATTTTTATTTAGCAGAAAAAAAAAATAAAACTTTGTTAAAATTCCAGAATAATCTTTTTTCTGACTGGTGAAAGTCAGCATGTCTGTCTGTTTCATCATCCTTTAAATCGCAGACCTCGCACAAATCTATTCACTGTGGATTCTTTGTATCCACTACACTACTGTACATGCCCAACACTGCAGCAGAATAAATAGGCCACATTCATACCGTGAGCTGCTCACTCCTGCATGTGCGCCGCTTATGTTTTTGCTAAAAATGTGGAGCTGTAGCCATAGTGATGAATTCATGGAGATGAAATGCGTGCCTGTCTTTCCACAGCTGAATTTTACATAGACACAAACTGGTGACTGCGACAATTACATTAAATTAAAGGTTAGTGCATCTAAAAAAATTAGCCTGAAAGGAGGAAGCTTAATTGTAGCATTTTATCATATGATTAAAGTATCTATTCTGCCTCTAATTAAGAAAACTTGAAAAGCTTAGTTACGGGAAGACTCTTTCATCTGGGTCAGAGAGTGTAATTTCAGTAACGTGTCTGATCTACAAAAATAGCAGCTGCAAAAGACAATAATAAGCAGGAGAGAGATAAAATAGAAGCAGAGGAAGACAAAGAGACTGAATACAGAGATAAAAACGGATGCATAAGATAACACAGCAAAAATAACCAATGTAAAAACAACAGATGTGAGCCTATTATCAAAAACAATACTTTTGTGGACCCTAATTTTAAACAATAGCAAAAAACTAGTTAAAAATGTAAGTAATTTGTATTTATATAGTGCATTTATCTGGTATGGCAATACACCTAAAGCGAGACAGTGATACAGCCAATTTGGTGGATGGGGATGATTGGGAGGCCATGATCGTAAGGGCAGAAGGAGGGAATTTGGCCAGGACACCGGGGATACACCGCTACTCTTTTATGAGAAGTGCCATGGGATTTTTTAATGACCACGGAGAGTCAGGACCTCTGTTTAATGTCTCATCCAAAAGACGGCACCCACTGACAGTTTAGTGTCCCCTTTACTTTACTGGGGAATCAGGACTTACACAGACTGCAGGGTGAGAGTCCCCTGCTGGCCTCACTAACACCACTACCAACATCAACCTAGTTTTCCCACGTGGTCTCCCATCCAGGTACTGACCAAGCTCAGCCCTGCTTAGCTTCAGCGAGTAACCATTCTTGGGCTGCAGGGTGATATGGCTTTATGGCTGTATATAGCCACTGTATCATCACAAACAGAACCAAATCTGTGTACACTGTTCATTGAGATAAAAATTAAAGGCTTTGTTTAAAAATAATAATAATAATAATTTGCTTTTAATTCACTCACCCTTAAAGGCCATCCAAAATGTAGGCAATTTTTATTTAAGAATAACATTAAATATATTTAGTTGAACCTTTTAGTGACTCATAAAATACATTTCAACAATCTTTGGTTGTCAAAATAAATACCTCTTGATTATACTTTTGAGGTCTAACGAGAAACTGAGGATTATTTTCAAAATGATCACATTTAAACCACAGCTTCAGCAAGTACAATAAAAGTGTGGATTAATAATAATAATAATAATAATAATTCCTTACAATTATGTAGCGCTTTTATGGACACTTAGAGCGCTTTACACATTCTTTGGTGGAATCTCCTCATCCATCTCCAGTGTGCAGCATCCACCTGTATGATGCAATGGCAGCCATATTGCGCCAGACAGCACTCAAGCTGATTAGAAACAGAGTGAAGCCAAATATGATATGGGTATGGTTAGGAGGCCATGATGGACAGAGTCCAGTGGGCAAATTTAGCCAAAAAGCCTGGGTTAAACACCTAGGGCCCTATCATACACCCAGCGCAATGCAGCACAAGGCGTGACACAGTTGTTGTTTGCTAGTTTCAGCTTGGCGCAATAGTCATTCTGACGTGTTGCACCACGCTATTTAAATAACAAATGCATTTGCGCTCATATGTGCACCCATAGCCGTTCTGGACTAAAAAAGGAGGCATGTTCATGCAAGGAGGTCTAAAGTCCAGCGCAGAGCATGTTAGTTGCGCTTCTCGCTTAAACATTGCTTAATACACAGGATGTACAGCAATACGCAAAACGAGTGAAATGAAAAGAATTTACAAATGAAAAAGAATTAAAGGATTAAAATATTACAAAAAATATTATTTTCTAGCCTATATAAATATAAAAACCACCACCTCCATGGCTACTTCATCTCGGGGGCTTTTTTAGTTTATTCATGACAATTTGGTTTTGTATAATGTTATTATTATTAGCAGTATTATTTATTATATGCATATGTATATTTGTTTTATTAAAAACAAGCTTAGGTTTGCCCACCTGTCAGGTTTTAGACCATATGGGGCACAGCATGCGTATTTGGATATAACTCCGTTTTTTATTTATTAGTTTGCTGGAAATTAGAACTAAATTTAGAAATAGTTTTGACACAAATCTTTGCTCCTAATAAGCGGAGTTATTTATTTATAAGCTAATGGATGTCTATGCGTACAACATGTTTCCCTTTCCACGAGAGTGAAAATAAAAGTAAAGAATGAGTAAGCTCATCTCTCATTCTTGTGTTGTAGATGCTCTGTTTAACTGTTTTCTCTCTAGAGAAGCATTCAGTTTTTCCACTGACAAAGTCGGCCATAAATAGCAAATGCGCTATGGCGTGAAGCAGCTGACTCTTAAAGGGAATGGGAGATGAGACTCTGATTGGTTTATTCTCAAAACACATTTATAATAGGGCGTACTCACACTATGTACAGTTAACTTGAACCGGCCCATAGCACACTTGTCCCACTTCCCGTCTCCGCCGATGGCTCGCACTTACATTACATTCGGGCCTGGGCAATGTCATCGATACTGCGATGTTTGGTAAGCGCTCTCAATCAGCACAGCGGAGATTTCTTCAGTTATATCGTTTAAGTTGTGTGATATGCAGTGACACGCAGTCAAATATTACACTGAACAGATCAGCCACTTTTGATGCTCATTAACAACCATAAAGTCCTCATGCTGCAGGAATCAGGAGGTTTGCTGAAGGTGCAGCTGTCATGCAGTGAGGGGTTTTAGTCCTTAATAAACTACGAAAGTTTGTGTTCACTGAACAGTACGAATGGTTGATAAATCCATGTGAAACAGTCCCTTAAAAGTCTTGCTTACAGTTTCGGGCTAAGTCGCATTTTGGACTCAAACACAAGTGTACCGAACCAAAGCCTAAAGAACCGCGCTCGATGAGCCCGATTCAGAGCACAAACAGTTCTCAAACAATCCAGGAAACGGGCCTGGGCACAGTTCGGATAGCATACTGTGAGTAGGCCCTAAGAGAATAAGCTCAACCCTGTCAGACCATGCGCCGTGGCGCAGAGTGGATTTTTCCATCTTTAAAATAGCAAATGTGGATTCTGACACGCACCTAATGCTTTGCACTTTGCGCTTAGATTGTCAAAATATAGCCCCTACTCTTTTTCGAAGAGCATCCTGGGATTTTTATTGACCACAGAGAGAGTCAGGACCTCGGTTTTAATGTCTCATCCAGAAGACAGCACTTACTGAATGTGAGAGTTGCAGAGAGCTAGCTGTCTGCGATAACTGTCAATGGATCATCAGGAGCCATTAAAACACCCTGACCATTTCACCTTTGTCTTTAGTAGTCTATACACAACGCAGATTATCATCAGCGCTGCTTGTTTGTGCCCCAATTTGTGCTGCTTTGTGTGTTGCATTTAATTTGCTCACTGTCAGTTGATCACTTGGAAAACAATACAATCTGCACTTTTATAGGATTGAGGACTCTAATTTGCCTTGTTATTGAAATGAGCTCTAAGCATCTACAGCACAATGGTGTAAGCGTCAGATTTTATTAAACCTAATTTTACTTCTCTGTTTGATAAACTCTAGCAAAACTTTCAGACTAATAAACAATTATGATTTTATCAGACTGGCCTACTTTACAAACAAAATGGTTTTATTACTCACTCTGATTACATGATGCTTTTTCTTCATCTCTGGAAATCGAAAGATCTGACACCAGTACGTCGTGTCCTTATGAGGAACAGGAACCTGCAATATTTGAATATGGTAAGAAACAAACATCACACGGCAGACAGACCGCAACCAGCAGCAGTAATTCATTGTGGACTGCATAGTGTAGACTTCCAGCTTCTCATTAATCCCATTTCCTGTTTTTTCCCCATTCATTGTGGAGCATTTGTTATGAGGTTGTAAATATGTACACTCTTATAAAACCTAGTGTTTGGCAGTGCCCCACAGGCATAAAAGAGGCCTTGTTTTCATTGAAAATACCCAATCGGGAGGCAACAGGGTCTGCATTTACAATGATTTATATGTAAGAAAACACCCAAAAGCTTGACATTAAGGACCTTGATTTTTAAGCGTGCAAGAAAATAGACAAAACAGTAGGTACAAGACTGCCTAAAGCTAAGCTGTTCTCTGGCAGTCTGCGCTCCAGCAGTCTGCCCATGCTCTTTCCTTACCTCCTTGTTTTGAAGGTCAAAGAAAGCTGTTCCTGCTGGGATGCTGGGGCCGGTTCCAGGGTTGAGTAATCGCAGACTCTTTCTGCCTCTGTTCATCCCATGGTAGACCAGTCCTGACTCTCCCACGTCCTCTGCATGGAACGCCCAGATCACTCTCACTGTACTGCCCTGAGCAGTGACCAATTATGGGTAATTGTACACTTAAGTAATCATCTGACAACATGTTGGGAAACTGAGTTTATATTAGAGAGACATGAAACGGAAGCTTTAATAGTCTTTTTGATTGCGGCAAATACAGCTGAAGACAAAATGATTAGCTCCTGTGAAACTCTAATACTTTTTAAACATTTCCGACATACTTACAATTAACTAATTTCTTTTGTCATTGACATGATCGTAGTGCTGTACATAATATTTTACTAGTTATTTTGCAAGATACTAGTATTCAGCCTAAAGTACAATTAAAGGTCCTAACAAATTTATTTAGGTTACAAGTTAGGTCACTTAGGCAAGTCATTGGACAACTCAGTGAGCGCTGTCTTTTGGAAAAGACATTAAATTGAGGTCCTGACTCTCTGTGGTCATTAAAAATCCCCACTGGCAAATTTGCCGACTGGCCTCTGTCCATCATGGCCTCCTAACCATCCCCATATCATAATTGGTTTTATCACTCTGTCTCCTCTCCACCAATCAGCTGGTGTGTGGTCTGGTGCAATATGGCTGCTGTCGCATCATCCAGGTGGAGGCTGCACACTGGTGGTGGATGAGGAGATTCCTCCCAAAGTGTAAAGCGCTTTGAGTGTTCAGAAGCGCTACATAAATGTAAGGAATTATTATTATTATTATTATTATTATTGAGGGGATAATAATATTGACCTTAAAATAATAAGTTGGTTATCTTGCTCTTTTAATCATAACTTGGGAAATATTTGAAAAATAATTCAAATTTCAAAGAAGGACTAATAATTTTGTTCAACTGTTGAAATGGCTTCTCATACTAGAGAAAAGTACCACGAGACATTATATTGTCCTGTTGAAACCTCGCACTTTTTGATTATGAAATCATTTTCCATTGTGACTTCATTAAAGTGTTATAAGCAGTGTTGGGGATAACACATTACAAGTAACGCGTGTTATATAATATATAATACATAAGTAATTTATAATGCAAGTGTGATAATATTACTTTTCTAGGTAACAAGTAAAAACATTTTTTTGTTATTTAAAAAAAAATGTTAATTACTTTTAAGTTTAGTTCGCTTTTAAAAAAACAAACTCTTGAATTTAAAATGAACGTAGTCACATTGAATCCAACATGCAATGAGAGAATGCAGGAACAGACAGAAAGGATGATGGCAGAGCCTTACATTTCTGCAATGGAAATATTCTCATTATTTTGAACACATGGAAGAAAACAAAAAAATGGTTATCTGAATGAACAGTGACTTTACTTTTTTGAAACAAGACAAAAAGTACAAAATTAGCAAACACATTGCTTTAAACTATCATTAATCTGTATATATGGCATGTATAGCTCTGGGCTGAGGAAGTTCTTAGAAGATAACATTATCCTAAATTATTTTTTTATGTTTTTTTTTTTAAGATAAATGAAGGTTATACAGTGTGTTGTTAATTGTAAAAGCCCAGCAAGTTCTGAAAGAGATTAAGTCTCAGTCAGAGTAACGCAAAAAGTAACGCAAAATTAACTTAAAAGTAATGTAACGCATTACTTACCATTTACCATAAAAAGTAACTAAGTAATGCAACTAGTAACTTTTTTGGCGGGTAACTCAATATTGTAATGCATTACTTTCTGAAGTATCTTCCCCAACACTGGTTATAAGTCATGAACCAAACATGAAGTGAATAATTACAAACTTTAATTTAAAGCAAAGAAGAACATGAAAATCCGACCAAAGACAAGACTGTGTGTTTATCTGCTTTAATGTGAAGGATAAACATAATGTTACTATTCATTTAAGATTGTTGGTCATTTTTACAAAAAAGCTAATGTTAATTTACATATTTAACATAAAGAACACCAATTTGTGTCTCTTTTCTTCAATTAGAGAATATTTTAGCTTGTGGTTATTGGTGATTCATAATGCAATTCAGCTTCCTGCATTTTGAGAGTCAAGAAAACATATGCAGGCAAAACAAAATTAACTCTTGTGTCCCTTGGCAACACACTGAGGTCCTGAGGAAAATGATCAGTCGGTGCAATTTTAACTGTTACCTTTAATCCACAGCCATGACAAACAGTCCTGAACATGTTCATGTCTGGAGAGGGAGCTTCGTCTTGCATAATATGTGCACGTGATTATTTTTTGTTTTCGATTTCAAGTGTTTGAATATGTCATTATGTGACATTAAGCTCATGCTCCAGACTGTGATGAAAGTAGGATTGTTTACTGAGACTGTGGATTAAAGGCAACTATGTTAAAAAAAAAAAAACTTTCTGCTTTGCTTCATTACACCTCAATGTTTAAGGAACCAAAGTCATTGATGTTGTTTTGACTGTATGTTTTTTTTTTAATGCTCACGTGCATAAAGCTACATGTAGCCATGGTTTACAGTGAATTTATAAAAGCTAAAGAGCATGTCTGAATTAACAGTCCCTTTAAATTATTAACACAAGCATAAGGTTTTACCGAATACAGAACTTTGCTGCACATAACCCCTATTTTGATTTCATGGTCACTTTATCCTGTCAATAAAACTGTATGTACAATTGTTTCCCCCTGGATGAACTGCGGTGTGCTGAAATTGTAATTAAATCTGAGAGACAAGTTAAAAAAATAGATAATTCTTTGGTTTGGTACACAATCAAAAAATTAAATAAAGAAACCCTGTCACCGAAAGCTGTTTCTCTCAGAGTTCTGGAGCCAAAGAATGATGCATCTAGTCAAACCTACCGTGATGATTTTGTCATTGTCATCGCAGGTCTGGAGGTTTCTGCTGAAAGCCAGGACTGTATGTGTGTCATTCTCTCTGCCGTATAGCAACTCGTAGTTCTGGAGTGGATCTCTATGGACCTTTCTGTTAGAATCTGTAAAGTAGTCCTGAGCAAAGTGAGAAGAAACAAAGTTTGGTGTGATCTATGGTGTAGATCTAGAGCGTAGATTTCAGGTTTGAATCCTTTAAGTGTGTTTTGATGGATCATGCACTGTTAGACATTTCTGTAAATTACACAGTTATTTACTGTATTTCACCCAGTGTAATACTGCAAATTCCTTTTACGGTAAATAACTGTATTTACCGTTGCATTATGGGAATTTAGTGTGACGTCGAACAACATATACAGCGATGTACTGTATTTGTAAAAATTCGTGTATTATACTGTATTTTCCACAACTGCTTCAACGCCACCTTGCGGCGATTCGACTACTCTGCACCACATTTTGCCTGAGGACCCTGGAGCAATTCTGGAGGACAATTTATTAGTGTGCCTGAAGAACATACTGGATTTAACAAACTTTACTCTGGTAAGCTGAGGCAGTGTTTCATTTTACAGAATGTTTTGTGGACGAGAATAGAACAAAGTAAAGCATAAAGTTGGCTATTATTATTTTCTCTGGCTTGGCGTTATTTCGCCCATTTGAGAAATATATCATCTATTAAGATGTTACCTTTATTTAATTTATTACATTAACACTACTATTACTTTAAATAAGACTGTTTATGACTATTAGCCATTGTTCTCGTCATATCTTTTTATTTATTTACATAGGAACCAGCGGGTTTTGGTTTAGGAGGGAACCAGAGGTATGCAGACAGTTTTGGAGGACACTTAGCACGAGACAACGGTCCGGCAGAGAGTGTTTTCCCCCAGAAGAATATGAATGAAAGACCAACAAATAATCCAGGTAAAAGCGCGTCTGTCTGTGCTGACAACACTCGACATTGATTTGAGCACCTCTATTAGCATTTGTTTGCTCGGCAACATTGGCTGAAGCGATCTTAAAATGGTAATGTTAACTGTTAGCTAAACTGAGCTAAGTTTATACTGAATTGGACTCAAACTCATTTTAACGTGCAACATTTAACTTATATTGATTTATACTATATATATTAGATGTTGTGAACTTATTTTTCTCTGGTTTAGAGTAACTTATAACGTTAGCTTGAGAAAATAACATCGCGACGTAACCTATAAGAACGTTAACGTAAATCTATAACGTTACAATATGCATAGAGGTAAAGTTGGTTTTATATTCCCACATTCGTTCATTTAGAAGACTCTATACTGTTTACCATGTTACTTTGAATATTCGATCAGAATTAGCATGCCAGTATGACTTGAAATCAACATTAACACTGTTTATTTGACCGTGAGCATGTTGTACTTTGATAGTCATTAGCTGCTAAAATGATTTCGCTATTTAGAGTTTGCAAATAATACTTTTATGAAATTAAATTATTAAGGGGGAAGTCTGAATCTGCTAATATAAAACCAATTTTACCTCTATGCATTATGCTAATAACCACCTTTTTGCTATTTATTGTTTGCTAATTATTTTTTTTATCACAACTCTTGACATTTGGTTTAACATAATTGTTACCATTATATTTTTTTCTGTTTAGATATGGCACTGGCACAGCAGCAGGTTTTGTCTGAAGAAACAAACAGCATTTCAGAGATCTTGATCAGCACAGCCTTATGCTTAAAAAATAAGCAAGACCAGTAAGCAACCAAGGTAAACAAATAAAAAAAAGTTGTGTGGAGGTTGTGGATTGTAGCATGGTATTCTTATCTGTATTTTTGGCTTTTTTATGGTCTCAATATAGAATACTGGGAGCCTGCCTGTGCAAACTGGACCTCATACAACAGTAAGTACTGTACATCTATTTGTTTCTCAATATATTAACGTTACTTTTAATACAAAATGTGTCACATGTTTAGTTGCTAGCTAAATAAAAAAATCGTTTTCCCTTTTTTATTAAACCATTTAGTAGTTTTTTTTTTCATCTTTGTTTATAATATTTTTGAGCAGATTGAGGTCTGTCATGGGTCAGACATTTCAAAATACAATAATTAGTATTGGGATACATGCATTTGTCTATGTATTAAATGTCTTTTTCCCCATTTCATGTTGCCTTAATATTTTGTAATAAATAAAATAATACAATTTTTTGTATAAATAATTCCAGAGGATGAAACAAAATGCACAGCAACAACCAGAGTGAGCCAGAAGATAGCAGGAGAAGTACTGAAGAGAATGACAACCATGAACAACAGTGAGTTATCCTTCTTTCACCAGCTAACTGAGAACTTGGATTAGGTGAGACACTCTCAATAGTTTTATCAGTATTCAGTCAGTTTTAGTTTATTAGGAATACATAAAACAAATAGTCTAATCTGTCCTGCAGTGAATCAACCCATCACAAATGCTACAATGTTTTTGTAAAACCTTGTTAGGGAAAAAAATAAACAGGACATTCTAGTTAGTTATCTTTTAAACATGGTAGTGAGCAGGTTATGAGCAGGAGCCAGTTGCTCAGTACCAGCTGAAAACTACCCCAACCTAGCTGCCATGCTTCAAAATAATTAACCAGTATATGATTTATTTTTTTTAAACAAGCTTCTTCTATGCTTATGTTAGTCTGTTTGTCCTTATCCAGAGTTCTTCATAATCCTGGACTGGGCCAAATCCTGACCAGATGCTGTGGTGGTCATGGAGGAGTGAATCCTAAAAGACACACGTGATCAATGAGTTTCCGCATTGATCCAATGGGCCAGCCTGACCACCCGCTGGTGAACTTTCAAGCCTCTGGTGCCTAGACTGCGGCATTGCACAAGTTTGGCTAGAGGAGAACTGGTCGTGCCCAACTGAGCCTGGTATCTCTCAAGGGATTTTATTCTACACTTTCGTCAGTTGGTGAAGTTTCTTCCATGCCACTGTCGCCACTGGATCACTTGGCTACGATCGGTGGATCGGTGGATTTGCTCTTCAGTGTTTGGACTTTCAGCAGTGACATTTACTGCTTCAATTCTGAAAACTGGACTGAAGCAGCTTCAATTTACAAGAACTTCTATGTTAAGCTGCTTTGACATCATTGATCTACATTGTAAAAGTGCAATAGAAATAAAGATGAATTGCATTTGAACATGTGAATTCAGACCTTGTTGAGCATTTGACACCAGAATTAGTAATATTTTAAAGTTGGGTTGTTTCTGAGTCGGCTAATAGTTACAAATATTTATTTTTCCAACAATATGCAATTCAGAAGTTTAAATTTTTATTGTACATGTATGTTCTAGTGCTTTGTGTGATTTATTTATTTTTAATGTGTTGATTTTAATGCTTAATGTAATTTTCACACATTTTCCTTAAATGCTTTAAGCATTTTTAATGTTTTAAAGAATGGAATATTTTGTAATTGTGTCTGGTTTAATGTCAGTAGTACTTAGTACAATTGGGTTTTTTTTTCTCAACAATATGCAGGTCAGACACTTAAATTAGTTTTGTACATGTATGTTAATGTGCTTTGTCATTTTCAATGTTTTTTTTTCTTAAAATAAAATATTTTGAATGATTGAAATGTAATGTTTTTACACATTTTTAAGCTTGTTTTAAGCATCTCCAATGTTTTAAATAAAGAGTGTTTATTTTGTTAATATTTTGTAATTGTGTCTTTTTTAGGTCTATAGTATTAAAATAATATTAATAAAATTATATTATAAAATATTTAGGACAAAATTAAAAGGTTTACAGTAGCTAACTGTTAACTTAGGTTTTTACAGTAGTTAACCATTTTCAGACACTACAGTAACATGCTGTAAACGGATTTACAGTTGTATACTGTAAATCTAAAATACAGTAACTTACTGGCAACAGTGTTGCCAGTAAGTTACTGTAAAAACCCTTTGAAATGTCTAACAGTGTGAGTAAATCGTATTGGTTTTTGTCTGCATGTGGTCACATTTAATAATCTTTGATCAAATTGTTTGGTCAGCGGCATCGACAAATGGCCTATTTTTTTTCAATACACATTTGTAATGGATACAGTATGTTTTAGAACACAATGTGTCATCGTTTATGCGTACAAAACTAAAACAGCAAGATATAGTGTCAAGGAGGTTTTAATGAAAGATTGCTAATGAACAGTGCTGAATACTAACAGTAAACATCTATGACTGCTGTATATTTCCAACAGCTGGATGGGGATTATAATGAGCAGGGAATGTGGCCAGCAGGTGTGTGTGAATATGTTTAAACATTGCCCTGCTTTCTTCTGAAACAGTGTTGTGTGTTTAAGTGCTGTCTGAATATAATCCAGGGTCAGCCGTATGCAGTCAGGTCAGTGGGTCATTGTCCATTACAACAGATTTCAGGACACAAAAAGCTATATTTAAATCATCAGACAGGGGACTTTAGTGTTGCTCACAATTTTGAAATATAATTATATAATGTTCCAATACATTTAGATTGCATGTATGTACTACACTGCAGTATTACATACTGAAATATTATTACTTGCATATGTTTTTAGCTCTATTTTGTAATGTGATTTATGGAAGGCAAAAATATGCATATGAAAATAAAAGCTTTGGACTATATTATATGACTAATAGGTATAAGACTCCCATTTGAAGTAATAAATTAGTAAGTACTGTTATGTTATATTTTAAGATGCAATATTTTATTATACAAGTTGTGTTTTCATTTTTTTTTTTTTTTTTGGTTAATTTTATTTGCCAATCCAAACTAATTATTAGCTGTTTATGATGTGTATAACTGTTATGTTTAAAAAAAAACACATATTATGCAAACAATATGTTTAAATAAGTTGAATAAGGTAATGCTAATGTTTGCCCTCTCCCCACTTTAAAAATAAAGTTTACTTTTAATTGTCATTCATTCATTATAACCAGTAGATATGGTTGTAAATAGAGGCAAAGACGTCATCTCAATCTTTATCCTATTTTTTTTCTTAGGCTGTTTAAAACTTTGGAATGTTTAAATCACAAATCCATAAACACTTTTTATTTTGAAAGAAAAAGCAAGGCAAATAAGACTTCATTCCCGTAGTTAAAATTGCAATAATCCGACACAACAAATATAAAAAACAACAATTGTACACTGGGACAGTCTAAACTGTACACAGCCCACTTTACAATTAAACGAGAGATGCGTTGGCAGGCAAAGGTGTGTGCGCACGCTTACCAGCAGATATGGGCTTCCGTTGAGCACACCGCCTATAACGATATCAGACGAAGACATCGCACCGGTGGGTGACAAACCGAATCCCACATACCCCCTCGTTTCCACTTCTATCTCAAAAGTTATCGTGGACTCGTCAAATCCCCACTTAATGTTGTATCTCCTCTCCGCATCCAGAGCAGCTGAATGAACAAACCGTGTCCCCTGTGAGCATGTTGAGCAAAAGAGTGAAGTTAAGAAAACAATTGCGCAAAAAAGCTTATTTTCAGACATATCGAGCTTAATCGCAAACAGTTCCTACTGCACTCAGGCACGCTTTTTATCCATAGAGCAGTTTATGGAAATATGCAACTTCCGAGGGCAAGAGTGTTTGTTTGCTTTGGTGCATTGGAGGCGAATGAGCCTTTCAAGCTTTGGCAGCCTCCCACCGCTGAACTGTTGAAACTTGTGTGTTTCCCCTTTGATGTGGAAAGACATTTAGCTGAACACCGTGTCGACGAGCGCGCGACGCGACACAAGTTCAACGACCACGTTATTATAAAACCGCTGCCTTCCAGACATTATAACCGACGGTGCTTTTACAACACACCGTTATAACACAGAGTAATTGTATTTCAAGTCCATTGGTTAGAACCGCTTAAATGTTGGATATTTTGACCATATTCAGGGTTCAAATACCGTTCATCAATTTTATTTTGGCTGTTGAAGCATATCATAAACTTAAAATATTATAGTTAATAGCATATTACATTAATTAATTAATGTAATAGCAATTAAAAAGTAGCCCATATTGTATTAATCTAGACATCCTATATACACAACGACAACAACAACAACAACAACAACAACAACAACAACAACAACAACAACAACAACAACAACAGGCCTTTGTAACTCCTACAGTACAATATTTAATTTTTTAAAGTCTGAGAACAAGACCTCCTTGGTACTCCTGTGGTGCTCAACCAGCATTTACAGAGACACATTATAAGTCTCAAAATGACTATAAACAATTAAAAATGAGATAAAATGATCATTAAAGTAAGCATGCAATAAATAAATAAATGTATATTTATAAAATTTTTTATTTATTTTTTAAACAAATAAGCGCTAATAAAAATACAATACACCAAGCCAATATTTTGTATTTACAATATGTTTGTGAGTGTGAAATACTGTGTATACTGTATGTCACTGTAGTGCAACGTGCATTCAGCATGTGAAGATAACACATAAGAAGTGCACAGCTTTGAAAAACTGTTTAGCATTCACAATATCAGCATTTTTGAACTGAGCAAACATCATATTTGTACAGTTATCTCTTACTCTGGAAAACAACAACAAAAATTTAATCACTGTACCAGTTGGACAAGTAAATCAAGTAAGGCAACTTGTCTATGAATTTTGGCAACTTGTAAACTTTTTTGTGTGAGAGAGAAGAGTAAAAATTAGGCAAAAGTTTGTAAATATGTATGTATATATAAATCCACTTCATTTGAATCAAACCAAGACATCAGAAACTTAGATCTTTATAAATACACACCTCAACATAAGTTATTTCATAAAAATTAGGAAATATGATGAGAACTATATGGAAATATAGTGGAGTATGTGAATGTTGCCCCTTTTTATCAATACATGCTTCTATTCTATTCTATTCTATTCTATTCTATTCTATTCTATTCTATTCTATTCTATTCTATTCTATTCTATTCTATTCTATTCTATTCTATTCTAGCTGTAATTCTGTGGCATTGTATTTGTGAATAATGACTGCCATCTAGTGGGGATGATGCATAGGCTTGTAAAATGAGTACATTCATTCATTAAATCCTATTCAGAGTGAAGGCAACATGATGCTGATTTTCAGATCTGTAATAATTGAAGCGTTATGGATGGAATATGGATGGATCTGGTTTTCAGTGTTTGGACTTTCAGCAGTGAAAATTAAACCGAACTGAACTGAATTGAACTTGAACTCTGAAAACTGGACTGACACAGTTAAAATGTCAGTTGAGCTGTTTTGACGATCTACATTGTAAAAGCGCTAGAAATAAAGATGAATTGAATTGAATAGATGCTGTCTTGAAAACAGATCGAGTCTGTCAACATTTTTTTCTAAAAAAAACATGAAACATCATACATTCTTTTACATTTTTGAAAACTTGAGGCCTCTACGTTTGTTATGCCACTCTGATCAATGTCCCAAATCCTCAACTCTTATTTGTTTTCCCTCGGACCACGTTTTGTAGGTTTATCTGAATACACTAGAGGGCAGTAGAGTACAGCGATTAACTATTCAGCGATAATACCCTTTTCCCAATGGCTTGAGTTCAAACTCCAACAGATGAACGCGAACAGGGTCCGACACGATTTTACCACCTGCTGGGAAACCTCTTCCTCCAAAATTGCCTACAGAGAGTTGCTCTTGTAACCAGAATCTAAGATTTAATTGATGTAAAATATTAATGCTAAGTATACTGAAATCCATAACTGTTGGGTTTGACATTTTCTCTATAAAATACTAGAATATTTACTCTGTAATGTCTGTGCAAGGACTTCTAGAATTCACAGGATTCCAAATACCCCTATTTACCTTGGATTTAAAATTAAATAGACTACTTGTCGAATAAATGTTGTTTCTGTGGGCAATTAAGGTATTTGGTGAAACTGTTGAAGATATTATCATGGGAGGTTTGTTAACATGGTGTGTTATCAAACTGATAATTAAGGAGTTTTAGTGCACTAACGAAGTTTTCAAGTCTTGATGTGCAATAGTGTTAATTCCAATAAGGTGGTGTTTGGATCTTGGAATGAAGCGTGAAATTGCTTTTCTTTTGGAAATGTAGAGCACTCCTCAGCCAAAGTTTTAAGGCAGTTAAGAAACAACTTTCCTTAATTTCTTCACCAAAAAGCCTTAATGCAGAGCTAGAAATCGCTTTTGATTGCTTTTGAAAAAAGTGACTTGTCTCTTCAGGTGATGCGGTTTTCCTCTCTGGAGGCCTCCAACAGCGTTTTGAGAACTTCTTCATGGCGATTGACCCATATTCCTACAGTATATTAGGCCAATAGACATTACTGTATTTGCACAGCTCTTTCATAGACACTGTAAGTATCTAAAGCTGAATGGGTGCTTTCAGTTGCATATAATATGCAGCATAATTGACTTCACAAGCCTGTGTGGAGTTAAACTGCTGATAATGGCTTCTGACTATTCAGCGGAACTTTCTATATGCATCACATTGAAGACATTTAGCCTTCATTAGATGTGGCTTCTCAGATGGAGATTAGCATACTGTCGTAGTAAGGCACATGGACACAAGCTGAACTTTCATTGTAAAATGGATTTGAAATAGGACAATATTTCAGAGTAAAATAATTACAGTAAACTTCTCATTTTAAGTGGGGTGTGGGTAGGATAAGATGTAAAGTAACTATATTTATACACAGCTGAAGTCAGAATTATTAGCCCCCCTTTAATTTTTTTTATTTTTTAAAGATTTCCCAAATGATGTTCAACAGAGCAAGGACGTTTTCACACTGTTTAGTAATATTTTTTTCTTCTGGAGATAGTATTTGTTTTTTTTTCGGCTAGGATAAAAGCAGTTTTTATTTTAAACAACAACAAAAAAAAAAACATTTTAAGGTCAAAATTATTAGACCCTTTAAACTATATATTTTTTAATGGGGTGGGGGGGCTGGGGGCAATTGAACCAAGTGTGAAAGCACCATTATTGATCTGATCTGAACCAACACAGTCTCAAAGCTGCTTTAGATCAGAATTTGAATTTCACTTTTTCTCTATAAAATATGCGTTATAGTGCTCGCATTAAATAAAGCCAAATAACTTTAGTATATAGTTAATTAAGATTCCAGGTTGTTTCAGGACTTTATGACTTTCTATGGTCAGACTCCATAGAGACTGAGACCACAGAGAGTGAACTTGCACATCCTCGCACCTGCTTTTTGACAGGCATACACACACTCACACACACACACACACACACACACACACAGCTCTGACTCACAGACAGACCCACTGTGGAAGGTTCAAAAGGTCTCTGAGGGCAGCCGAGCCTCTCTAAACATGCCTCCTGTCCCCGTGTCTTTCCATCCTGATGAATCTTTCTGTCTGTATTTGACTCGATGTCTCACACTCGCTGCTCTCTTAGTCTCTCCTCTTGCTCTGTTTCTGCCTCTCTGATGCTTTCCAGTCTGTCTGCATTACTGTCGTTTTCCTAGTGTTTCTCTCTCTCTCTCTCTCTCTCTCTCTCTCTCCTTCTCTCTCTTTCTCACCCCCTCTGATTAACCCCAGGCCCCCGCTGAGCTGACTGCCAGACGGAGCCATTTAATTTTTACTCGGATCCTTTTCATTTCTCTCCTCCAGGCATATCCCTCCATCACCTCAGAGTGGATAAAATACGAGCAGCTTTCAGGGGACACTCTCTCCGCAAGAGGAGACTCGCTTTCACACACGAAATGTAAGTTATGTATGAACTTGGTAATTTTTGTTGTCTTTTATAGCGAGTCACATGAGCTACTGTTGTTTTAATGTTCAATCATCTTCATTTGCCATCTGTTTCGCAATGCATAATTGGAAATACCTGTGCATGCATTTTTTAGACTCCACCAACCCCCACGATACTCCCCTAAATGTGTGAACAAAGAGGGATTATAGATATAACTAAATTTCTCAATAAAACACCTCTCTCTCAAAAAACAAAACAAAACAAACAAAAAAAAAAAAACGCCAAGAACAACTAATTCATTTTCCATCTCCACATTTTCACATCTTTCATTAGCTCACACTCTAGATCAGTGGTGCCCAAAATTTTCCTTATGCAGGACCAAAAACCAAACTTGATTGAGGGTAATGGGCCAGATGTAAATATAATTGTCATTGGTAATTTTCAAATGTTCGTTCATTTATTCATTCATTCATTCATTCATTCATTCATTCATTCATTCATTTTCTCATTTTCTACCACTTTTCCGGGGCCGGGTTGCGGGGGCAGCAGTCTTAGGAGAGAAACCCTGACTTCCCTCTCCCCAGACACTTCCTTCAGCTCCTCCGGGGGGATCCTGAGGCATTCCCAGGCCAGCCGAGAGACGATATTCCAGCATGTCCTGGGTCTTCCTCGAGGTCTCCTTCTGGTGGGACATGCCTGGAACACCTTCCTAGGTAGGCGTCCAGGAGGCATCCAAAACAGATGCCCAAGCCACCTTAGCTGACTTCTCTCAATGTGGAGGAGCAGCAGGTCTACTCTCAGAGCTCCTCCCGGGAGACAGAGGTCCTTACCCTATCCATAAGGGTGCGCCCTGCCACCCTGTGAAGGAAATTCCTTTCGGCTACTTCTATCAGAGATCTTGTCCTTTTGGTCATGGCCCAAAGCTCATGACCATATGTGAGAGTAGGAACGTAGATTGACTGGTAAAAAAAGGAGCTTTGCCTTTCGGCTTCTTTTTTACAATGGATCGGTACATCTACCGCATTCCTGCTGCCGCTGTGGGCCCTACTTTAGGCATCTCTTCTCTAAATCATATAAACAGTGGCTGATTGTGGTGTTTGTATTGGGCTGCTCAATGTGTGTGTAAGTGTTAAGGATGGAACATTCTATGAGATTTTACCACTGTGTCCAGTTAG